TTCTGCGGGGCAGGCATCTAGGCTTTTTCACCTGTGACTCCACCTGTGACAGCCCATGAGAGGCGTGGAGCAATCGATTGCCTGTCAGCATCTTTCATTTGTGTTTTTTTTTTTTTTTCCAGTTGTTTTCTTTTACGCGAGTGGAGACGACAGCCTCCGTTGTATTTCTGTTTGCTGGCACGAGGTCCAGCAGTCGGGTTTCAAAGAGGGCGGGATCAGTACCGCCGCCGTCCTTTTTTCCACGTGCTGGTAGTACTGGTCCCTTTCTGGCTCGGCAAAAATTGGCACGCACTGCAACACAGCATTTTTAGGCTCTGCATCAATAGCTGAGAAAGGTACTGGAGGTTTAAACTTTAAACCACAAGTACACGGCCCCAGCCTTGCAGTCAGAAACTTGTCGCCACAAGAAAACGAGGCCGAAACGCCAAACGCTGGGCCCGCCATTGAAAAATTCTATCAGCGGCCCCCTTTTTGTTTTGCACCTTTGAGGCGTCAGACCTGCAGCCCAGGTGCCCATGTACTGGTGGTTTAACAGCCAAAACCTGGAGTCTCCCTTCCATTTCCCCCTCCTCTTTACCTCCTCACCTGCAGCATCTGCCAAATGCACAGCCGTCATTGCTTTCAGCTCTTCCGCATTGCCGTGATCAAATTCTTCTTTTTTTTTATCTCAGTTTTTAACAACGAACAGGTTCCGAGATTCTTCCCATGAAATGCAAAGCTCCTTGTTATTTTAATATTTTCCCATGGTTGGTGCCTGGGCCTGGGCACCTTCAAAATTACCCAGCCCTGTCAATGTTGTTCAGCAGTCCGCAGGCCAATCAATACACCCGGGGAGCAATTGCAAAGGCTTCCCCAACATTTTAAAGCTCCTTAAAAACGACTGCAACCTTCACATAGATAGGGCCCCTGACGCCTCGTCGGGGGTCCTTCCCCGAACTGAATGCGCACGTTGCCTTATCTAGAGTACCATCCCCTTTCGCGGCGAAAAGGAAAAGAGGTAGTCCCATTCATGGGCAGGCAAGACTGGTCTGGAGACTCTGCACGTCTCCCTTTTTTTTTGTTTGGGGGGGGGGTGGTCTGGACTCTGGAGGTCCGCCAAAAAAATGTCGCTGGCCAGATGCTTGCTTGGACCYCATGATGCYCCCCYCCCCCCCCCCCCCCCCCCCTYCTTSCCCCTTTCACTCGTCATTTCTCTCTCTCAAAACAACATCCTTTCGAGCACCATGGACGCTGATCTTCCCGCGAACACAATGAGCCAGATACAGTCTGATTACGAGTGCATAAAAGGCATCTATTAAGCCAGATACAGTCATGATGAGAGTGCATTGCGTTCGTGGGAGGATGGTAGCGACTCCAAACTCAATCTGTGGCAGTGCATCTTTCTTACCATTGCGTACTTCGGTAAAAAACCATTTACCCAGGGCAGGGCAGCCAAGGTCGCCCCGGCTGCCTGGAGAGGCAAGATCCCTGCAAAAAGTCGCCTTTTTCCTGATGGAAAAGCTTCACACTTATCCTCACCAGTTTTGTAATTGTTTCTTTTGCTGCCGCGAATGTGACCACTCTACTTGGCCGCGAATGTCACACTTCACGTTAGTGCACCACAACATTCAGGGCTCAGCCTCCTGGGCAAAATGGCTAGCAGTGGCACCCAAAAGGCGGCCGTGCCGCTTCGTTTTTTTTTTTTGGTGCACAGAGTGTTTCCAAGGTCGGAGAAAAGTGCCTCGGAAGTACTGGTGGTTAAAACCACACACCATCTGTTCACACGCCCCAAAGCTGTTGTTGCTGATTAGCGAGCGGAAGACTGACAGTGCTACAGACAAGGCAGAAACAGATACACACCGTCTTCTGGATTCTGGAGAGAGATCCAGCAACTCCCTCCTATCTACTGTGAAATATGTGATCCAGCTGTGTCTCAAAAACGGAGGTCATCACTTCCTCACAAGTAGCAGCACATTTGATGGGGTAGCATTTCATGTCATCACTTAACACAAGGGGACAGCAGCAAATCATGCACACGTGCTAGCATGTTGCACAGATACAGACACATCAACACAAAGGGGAGCGTGGGGGGCGGAACAAGAAGATCGACACAAATGCAAGGAGGGGAGAAAAGAGGAAATCGAGAGGGCCAATACATCCATCTCCACACACACGCGAGCGCACATGTACGAGCACTGAAGCACATAAATATATTAGCAGACCTAACAAACGCACCTGCAAGCGCGCCCGAACGGCGTTAGTTTAGAGTTGACGCAGGCATCACCGTAAGTAAGCCATGCCAAGGCCACAAGGTAGTGGAAGAACTTTCATTACACCGGCCCAATTAGTCGATTGGGTTATGTGGTTGCTTGACAGGCCGTCGGTTGTGTGTCCCACTATCGGATTGGGCATGCATGTATGGGACATAAGGTGTCCATGTAGGTCTCAAGAGGTGGGCCCCTGGCCAATTTGCTCAAAACAAAACTTTGAAAGGAGTCAATCGGAGCGGAAGAACTTTCATGACCACCAGCCTATGGGACAGGCATCCACGTAGGTCTCCCGCGGTACGCCCCTACCGGATTTTTATTCAAAACAAAAGTTGAATCGTCAACCGAAGCTAGCTATCGACTCACGGCATCCAACTATATCTAATGACGGCTTCAAAAAAAGAAAGGAATAGATTATAGAAACCTAGACATGAAATTAACAACCGTAGTTGCGTAAACACGATGTTCCAGTCGCTCCCTCATATACTCACTACAGAACAGCCTGGGCTGGTCCATATTTACCAAGCATGAGGTTCCGGATAACGTACCTGTGAGGGGACTGCTGAATGGGACAGACTCAACCTTGGCGCTGCTTTAAACCGCCAGTACACGGCCCCAGCCTTGCGGACAAAGAAACTCGAAGCCTTTGAAAATTTCGGAGGATGGGCCTGCTGGACCACAACGGCTGGCGGCGCCAGCCAAAAAAGAAAAAAAATGCACCGCTGGCGGTTTGGAAAAGCCCCCCCCCTTCTAAAAAAAAAAGAGTTACGGGGGCCCTGCAGGGCCGGGGTGTACTGGTGGATTAACACCCTTTACCCGCTACAGCAACAAGGAACACATACGAAAGAAATATATGGCAAGGGGTATCACAAGGGGTGTGCTGCACCACGATCGCAGACTTCGGATAGAGGCGAGAAAGCCGGAAAAGTTGGGAAAACACAGTTTTAAAGGCGGAGAGGGATGTCGGGACAGAAAAGCAAGGGAGGGAGGGTCCATTGAAAACAATGGGAAAAATCGATAAGAAAGTTGTAGAAAGTGGACATTGAGAGAAAGGGGTCGGTTTAAAACACTGGGACAACGAGTGATCACAACGTGCATGTTGCAGACTGTTCAAAAAGGAGGTCAGCATGGGATTGAAACAAACAGCAATTCTGCACCTTCAGTAGATTTACCTTCATTTCAAAAAAATCAATGAACAGTTTTGAGTTGATTTACAATAACGTACAGGACTGAGTCAGAGCCCCTCACCTTAAAAGCAAATCCTTCTGGGATGTCGTCTGACAGAGAATCCCTCTGTTTGCCGAACCACCAGTGCACTTTGGCGTTTCCTCCTTCCCTCTCTCTCTCTCTCTCTCTCTCTCTCTCTCTCTCTCTCTCTCTCTCTCTCTCTCT